AGTTCCACGCTGGAATTCACTGAGCTCCTGAGAGCGACCCATTCTTTCACAAATGTTTGTAAAAACAGTCTGCATGCCTAGGTGCTTGAATTTATATACCTGTGGCCATGGAAGTGATTGGAACACCTGATTCCAATAATTTGGATGGGTGAGCAAATACTTTTGGCAATATAGTGTAGTTATTTATGAATATACAGTTGAATAATTATATTAATTTTAAGAGACTGTCATATATATATACGGTATATTATTATTTTTTTAGCTTTTACTGTCATTACACTGTAACAAGTACAGAGCAATGAAATTCACTCTCTGCATTTAACTCATCCTCTTGGGGATGCGTAGGGGGTTAAGGGTCTTGCTCATGGACCCAGAATGTCAGTCTGTGGGAGTGAGACTTGAACTCAGAACCTCTACATTCCAAGCGCAATGCCCTAACCACTAGATTGCCACTCCACTATTTAATTAATTATTTCATTTGTATATTTATTAATTCTATAGAGATTTCATCATTTAATGGTGCATTAACTTCTTAACATCCACCTCATTTTAGGTAATCCTCGCCTATTTTGCATACCCAAATGGAAAAGCAAATAACTTAGAAACTGTAAGCCTAAATTACATTACATGAAAGCCAACACCCTCTAGTTTGCTAATATATAAATACAAATATATATAATATTGGGAGACTAGAACACAGACCAACCTCAAAGTTGTTCTTTTTACCCTAAATTATAGGGTTTTTTTTGTATTATATTTAGGGCTGCAACAACGAATCGCTAAAATCGATAAAAATCGACCTTTGAAAGTGTTGGCAACGAATTTCATCATCGATTAGTTGTGTCGCGTGATTAATGCGTCATCAGCCGCCGTGGGGCGCCTCCCTCATCCCAACCCCGTTCTCCCGCAGGAGTCCCTCTCAGCGCTGCAGTCAGAGCCACAGGATTTTTACCCTCAGCGTCCAGACTGCAAATGAAGCGCGCATGCGCCGGGATTGACGGCGCAAACTGATCACAATAGTTAAAATAGCCTGCGCTTTGTAAAGCGAAAAAAGTCGTAACATGCAACTTTTGTAAAATCAATTTTAACATGGCTTGGAGGCACCACTGTTATGATGCAGCACCTGAAATGAAAACACGCTGGAGCCTTCAATGGCAGTGAAGAGAGCTGATCAGCAGGATGAGCGACCATGTTTGTTT